TTTCTCTTTACATTTTAATGGTAATTTATTGCTAACCAAAGAAAACATACATTTTTAGACAGGAAAACAATTAAATAAAGAAATTATAAACATTTCTTTTTGATTTCGTTAGAAAAAAAGTAATAAATCTGTTTATTTTGATTTCTTTAGAAATTGATCAGATTTCGGACAAATCAAGCAGAACTGCCTTTTGTAATAAAGACATTAAGCTTAGCCAAATACATTTCAGTTTTGTATTACCCAATAAGTGGGTTTAAATTATGTACTTAGCCGATGCCACCAGATACATACGCACACACATAGATATTTCATTGGAATGCAACTTGAAATATTTAGTGCGAGTTGCAGGCTGGGAAATGGTGGCACAATTACGCACAAGTAGCGGACTCAGTGTCTGTGGTCGACCACATGCACTTTCCTGCATTCGACGTCACGTAGCTGTGAGGCAAGTAAATTATGCATGCAGCTTCGAGTGCAATAAAACAGAATTTAATGGGAATTTAATGTCGAAAACATTATCAGGCTCTGGCATTGGCCAAAGTGCTGCTGCTGATTCAAACCAACAAACAAACAAACGCGCTCATTTCAGCAAATAAGTATGCTATGCTTGTATGATGTGCCGGTGCGGGGTATATATATATTTATGTGTGTGTGTGTGGGTGTGATGACAATTGTCGAATCAGCCAATTTTTTTCTTTTCACTTTTTTTGTATTATTTTTTTATTCTGCTTTTGGTCTACGCTCGACGTGGCAAACTTAATCTCTGCACTCCGCTCCAACTGCCTGCTTCTAAATTAGTGGCAATGAGTGTGCAACGGAGTAGCGCGAAATGCATGAAATTCACTAATGCGTATACACATGTATGTGGGTGTGTGTAGGTGTGGCGTGTTGGCTATTATTTCCTGACCAGCACACTGGCGGCATCATCAAGCGCACTTGAAGGTTTTGTTCTTATCACCCGTTGTCCACGCGGACTCGATAAACAACATTCAGGCTAATATACAACCGCCGTTGCCATTGTCGCGGTTGTTGCCACTGCCTGACGTCATTTGCACAAATGCGCATAATCATTTAGACCGCTGCTACATGAGGCAGCAGTCGAAATGTAACAATAGCTGCAACAAGCACAGCCAAAAACTCGACACGCCGGCAAACTGGACAACCCCTACCAACCCCACTCGTACCACACCCGGCAACCAAATGGACATGGCCAAAAACCCGCCATGGCTGCAGCAATTCAATGCTGTCGCATTTTGTTGCTCATCTCTTTACGGGTGAGTTCAGTTTGGGATTGGAATTGGGATTGCAATGCAAAAGCAGCCACTTTGGCATTTTCAATCGCATGCATTTATGCAAATTCAATGCCCAACTGCATACCCCCAAATACAGCAACAGCTCCAAACATAAATACATACATTCATGCACCCAAAGATACACACACACACACATACGTGGCATATATATAGTTAAATGTATGCATGCATACTCATGGGTGTAGTGTGCAGTGGAGCTGAAGCTATCCTTGAGAACTCGGGCAAAATAATCCTTTTTTTGCTTGACATGATTTTAAGTTATTCTTGATTTTCAGCTTAAGATAGTTAAAATGTTTGCAAACATCGTTTTTTAATAATTAGTCAAAGTAATTTTGATGAAGATAGCTATTTAAAATCAAAGCAATTTGGAAAAAGAATTATAAAGCAATTTCGTAGCCGAGTTTGCTTTTAATATAAACGAAAAATAAGTTTATATTTAATAAAACAATTGAATTCTGTATTTGTCGATGAGAAATATATACCAAGACATATTTGAAAGCGTTTCAAATATAAATAATAGAAAAACATTTTAAAAATAATAAAGATTGAGTGTGTTTTGTAGTATTTTTGCATTGTTGAACAGCAATTTGTTAAGTGTGTAAATATTGCCTTAAGGGACTAAATTCTGTACATTCAATATTCGTAAAAAAAATGTTATGAATGTTAAACATTCGACTCGAGTAATTTTTTTTGCAATGATCAATGTATGAAAATGTTATTGCGCTTACTGTAAAATAAAATAATAATTTAATTAATTAGTGTTGCATATTTTATAAATAATGAATGCTGAAGGCAAAATATAAATAAAATATAAATGAAATATTCTTTTAATTTTTAAATTGCATTCTTATCTGAGTGGTTGTTTGTATCTCTTATATTTTAATTAATTGTTTTATTGTTCATTTCGAGTAAGCAAATAAAATTAAGTAGATTAGATACATATGTTAATTAAATCAGTAGGCAATTTGTCACTCACAACGAAGACTGATAATGGAATCGGACAATGTTAAGAATGTGAATGTAAGAAATGTTGGGCATAACTGAATCAGGTTAGGAGCCTTCTGTTTTGATGGGTTACTTCTGAGAGAAAAGTGTGTCCTCCCCCTAGCTGAGCTGCTGGCTACGCCCATGTGCACGCATACCAACGCATTTGCGCACTTTTAGATATGCAGGCAGATACAGATTAATGCATACATGCAATGCCTCTGTGCACATACATATAGAAAACGCCTAGAGTTGAACAGCAAGTTGATTGTTTTGACCGTGACAGTGATGTTTGTAGCAATGTTTGGCAATCATATTCATAATGTAACTGCAATTGGCACATGTTTTACTACATCCGCCATCTTGTATTGCTCATTTGTTAATCATGCCGAAAGGGAAACGCGCGCGTGAAATTAACACAAACACACACAGAAAAGAAAAAAAATAAATATGTACATATATATATATATATATATATATGTATATAGTTGACTGTAAAACTCATACGTATATGTGTATCAATAGATATGCATACTCATTTATATAAATATTTATCTGGTTGTGCATATGAATACAGGCACGGGATATGCATACAAATTAATTTTATTATTTGCAGTTTGCGAGTGAAAATGTCTGTGGGCCGTTTTTGGATACAAATCATTGAATAAACGACAATAGTATAAATAAAATTAAATATCACTTCTGTATTTTCGTTGTCCCGCTTTGTTATGATTTAAACACACACACACAAAATAATAAACATGCCTAAATGCTTGGTTCGGGATATGTTTAAGTATATGTCTGTGATTGTTATATGTAAATATATATAGATATTTAGTGATTTTAATAAAATTTAATAAAATAAACTGAATTTTCGTTTTAATACTATATATGTACATAGGTATCAAAGCTAGTAATTAAAAAAAAAATATAAAAAAATGGATATTAAAAATAATTAAAAAATAAAACAAGAAACAAACAAACTCGATTGGGAAACATCCTGTATCCATTTGGCATGCTTCCCTTTACACATTCGTGCACACTGGATGGCATTTGTAAGTACACAGATATGTAAAAACAAGTAAGGGTGCTCAGTCGAGAGTGTCCGACTAGGAGATACCTTGTACCCAGAGGGAGAGAATTCGTTTTGTTGTCCCTGCTTCAATAGTCGCTCAAATTAACTATTTAGTGAAAACAGACATAGATCTAGATTGATCTGGATCTGATGTTTGATCCATTAACCATGTATGTATGTAATTTCAGAGATGTTCCTTCTATTCTATCCAGTTTTGGGTACCGGGTATGCACGTTTGGTATATTTCTGTTGAGCACTTATATATTATATTTATATTTTGACAATTAATGTATAATTATTGTTTTGATACAAACGTCAAGCTTAATTCATATATATGTTTTTTTTTTTTTGTTCATTTCAATTTGTTTTTGCGGAAGACATTTCTGTATTGCATAATTCATTTTATAACTTTCGATTACGTTAATTATCTAATGTGAGCAAATAAGCTCAGTATAATGACTTATATATAAAAATTCTCGTTAACATTCAATTTCGTGTTGTGTATAATTATTGTTTTTGTTTATAAGCATAGGTTTATATTTTATTGTTACTGATATCATTGGACTTTGAACTATTCTTAAAGGGAGAACATTAAGTTATGCTTTCGCACTTAGATGTACTCATAAGTATATATACTAAGTAGCAACTAACTTTAATGATTAAGTTGCCAAATGTATTATTTAATATGTTCTCGCCACATATCCGAATCGTTACAATCTTACAAATAATATATGTACAATTATGTATATTCAAATATATATTTTCAAAACAATCAATTTAGAAATTGTGCTTTTAATGGTTAAGTAAATTAATAAGAAATTTGCCGCTTTTTAAGCGCTGTATGAAGGAATTGTGGCTAAAATAATTCCTTTTTTTAAGCTTTACAGTCCAACATAAAAACAATTAAGAAAATGAACTGCTTACGATTTTTGAAGTCGTTTTAGTGAAATGGTTTAAAACAGCATTTTGACTATTAGAAAATATTCTTTAATCACCAACACAATTTTTGATATATTTGTCTCTCAGATCTTTAAGATATGATACTGTATTAAAATGCATTTGTTGGTCTTCATAGCATAGTTAGATTCTCATGCTGGTTTTACAATCTCTAGAAACCCGATTTTCCCGGCCTTGGCGAAAATACAATTGTACTCCCGGCAATAAAAAAAAACTAATTTAATGGGTAATGTCTTCCTCAATGATGAAACTATAAAGCCCTTTGCTTGGGCGTAGTTGTATTTAATGTTTTTGATTAATTGTTAACTCCGTAAAGTACATATATTATTAATATATATTTATATATATTGTATGTATATGTTTTTTATAGCATTGGGGGAAAAGTTTGGGATGCGAGCATTAGCCAAACATACATATCGAATATAATGAGTTTTTTTTCCTTTGAGATGGATATAGAAAAGTTGAGTCGATGGAATTCTGACATAAATATATGGACTAGAAATATGCGAGTAAAAATTAAATTGCAAGTTAATTGAAATGCTGAAAATCGACTAACTTGATCTACGCTCCCGATAGCATAGATAATTATTATGAGAATTTCTGTACTATACCCAATATATATGTATGATAAGCTGCACCGCTCTCTCTCTCTCTCTTCTCTCTCTCTCTCACTGTCTCTCTCACTGTCTCTGTTGCTATTTGTATCCTTGCGGTGCCGGACTTGTTATACAGTCTGGCATGGATTTGGCTTGGAAGCATAATTTTAAATGAGCTTAGCCGAATACATTGTGAGTATAGTGAAAAAAGCCATCAGGGCATTTGTCGCTATCGTTGCACTGGCGAGCAGCTGCGACCCTCCATTCGCAAATATCCATGGCGAACGAGGTGAGGGGGCGACCCCACCCGGAGACTTATATGTCTTTTCGTGTCCGTTACGTGCCGGGACTTGCGTATGCACTGAAAACACATATATATCAAGATAAAGTTTTAATTATTTACAAGTCATGCCAGTGTATATACGTGTATATTTATGTCTGTATAATAGGTGCGTTTATATATAAATTATTATTATGTTTCTTTATTCCTATTCAGAATTAAATTATGCCATTATTAATTATATTTTCGTAATTATTTTGGCTCAATTAAATTCACGCGCATAATGCATTTGCCACATTAAAATAATGTTTTTTTTTTTTTAAATTATTTATTGTCAGTACCACTTTAGGCATGTGTCTCATTCAAATAATAAATTATTTTTATTTTTGTGTGCTTATTAAAATTTAATAAAAACTAAATTATTCCACTTAGTGCATGTGTCGCAATAAAATGTTATTTAAATTTATTCTGTTGTTTTTGCTTATTACAAATTCAAATAAAATTACTGCATTTCTCTCAAAATGAGATAAACCCACCTAAAGCGTGTGTCTAATTAAAAATGCTTTATTCCAATTCGAAGTGTTCTCAAATAAGGCCTAAAAATGTACACGTTATTGAAGTTCCGTTTGCCACTGTTGCAAGATACAATCGGGGCTAAACGACATAGAAATGCACACTCGAAATTGAAACTGACTGCTGGAAAATTAACTTCAAAAGAGATTTGGCGAGTACCCGAGCTGTACCAAAATACGATTTCGGTTGATAAATCAGTGCGCTCGACAGCTGCACGAGTGCTAAGTCCTGCTGACTGCCACAGTTGTTTTGGCCTGGCTGCATGGCTGCATGGCTGCCTGGCTAGGTGGAGGTGGGAGTGGGAGTGGGGATGCTCGGTTTAAAGGGGGTCACGTTCTGCAACTGGGAATGAGTATGTTGCGGTTTGTTATTAGTACTTCTGGTAGCCAAAGATCGAAGAAGTAAAGCAAAGCCACCAAGAGTATCCTAAAAGGACAGCAGCAAGTAGCAAGCAGCCCTGATGCAGCGACATTATATTTGTCCAAGTCATAGTCCCCATGGCGTTGGAGTGCCCCACGGCATGTGTATGGTTTAGGTAGCCGAGTAACCCGGAATAGTCCGGTATATATGGATGTGGTTCTCTCTCTGTGTGTGTGTGTCTGTGTGTGTGTAAGTGCGAGTGTGTATGAGTGTTTGTAACTGCCGCTTATGCCTGACTTCATTCTCTGCTTGTGCTGCAGCCATGTACTTGTGGAATTTTCTAAATCGTAACTTACCTTCCGCTCCGTTTATCATGCCGTTGACGTTTCCACTTGCCACAATGCCACCACCACCACCACTGCCGCCACCGCCAGCAGCAGCAGCACCGGCACCATCGCCACCGTTGGCGCTTTGGGGCACACCAATCCCGCTGCCGAATACATCGTTCTCTTGCTGCATTTGATTTGAGAAATGGGTTTCCTTGGCACGCACCACTTCGTTCAGTCCCTTGTTGTGGCCGGGCTGCTGCTTCCGACGCTGCTTGGCCGTGGTGTGCACGTGAGGTGTTGGTGTCGTTGTTGACTTGGGCGGTAATCGTAATTCTGCAAGAAATTGCACCAATTATGAAATGCCGAATGCCTCTTTTTGCATGGGTGGACACCAAAAACAAAACAAATGGGGTGGTACACATCCGTTAAATACAAATATGTAAGCTCTGCGGCAGCAACAACAATTTCAACTAGAAATATTCGGATACCAAGACTTTAACAGTACTCTTTTCCGTTTGATTATATAAGTTGGAGTACTTTGCTTTCCGTATTTTATTTAGATTCTTAAAGATATTTATATTTAGATATTTTTTGTGTTTTTTATTTTTTATATAATCCGATATATTTCGAAAAAAATAAGAAGCAAAAAGACTTTGAGTATTCAAATATTTCAAAGCAAATCGGGGAAATAATATTGTTGAAGTCCTGGCATTCGAAAGTTTAGATATATTATATATATTATATGTCAGAAATTGTTATTGTATATTTGTAAATATTATAAAGAGGTTTCCAAACAATAAACAATTCAAATTTGCTTTAAAAAAAAAGTGAGTGCATTTAGGATAATTTTATTTAGTTTAGTCGACCATTGTAATTATTTATTGGACACAAATAAATAACTGTGTTTAACTTTGAGCTTAGCATTTTTCAAGCTAATGAGGAAAATTATAAGATGGCTAAAATTAAATTGATGTACGCTCAAAGAAAATGTAAATTTTCTTCTCTTTTTTTTTGATTTAACAGATAGTCAAATTTTATAATAATTTCCATAATTTAAACGAGACTATTTATAAGATGGCTTAAATAAAATTGATCCACGTTCATAGCAATCTGGAATTTCGGTGGAGTGATTTAAATTCCGACCAAGTTTTTGATTTGTTAGCCTGTTAAACCAAAAACCGGGAGGTGCAGATTTTAGATAATTTTAATCACTCATCTGTTTAAGACAGGCTGAAGAAAATTCATTTAATTTTTAGATTTAAAAGATCTATGTGAAAACCCTTGACGCGTACGCTTAGAGTTTCACTCCAGTGGGTCTTTTAAGTGAAAATTGAAATTGCTGCCACGAACTTGATGCAGCTCCAGTGGCAATGCGAGCAAAGAAAGTTTTCCGCTGATTGTGCAATAATTCATGCTTAGTTTCAGCGCTCCAACTCTCTACTTTGGTTTGGTTCGGTTTGGTTTGGCTTGGTTTGGTTGGGTTTGGTTTGGTTTCGTTTGCTTTGGCAATGAATGTTGGGGATGTGGACTCGCTGCGCAGATGAAAGATAGAGAAATGCTTCAGTCGTCTTTAAATGAGATCGATAAAAATAATAGACCGACGGAAATCCTATGTGATTTATTGCAAGGAAACTGAACGAATTACACATACGATGAAGACACACATATAAATACGTACATACGTACAGAGGCCCCCAGTTCATTCGCAACTAAATTGATGGGCTCGAATTGAGGGAACTACTTGGCTAAGCCAAGCTCTTGGCGCCACACATGCTTCAAAATGTGCATGTGAACTTGAAAATGGAATTCATTCATTCTCAGTCTCACCTTGCAATCGAATCCGCGCCTCACTCTTCCCAAGAGCATTCACACTGGAACAGCTGTAAGCCCCAAAGTCCGACTTTGTCAGGTGTCGTATCGTCAAGTTCAGGTGCCACGTGTACAAGTTAATCATGGCTTCAGATATGTTATACTTGTTGCCATTGTGCAGCTTAATGTTACCTGAAAAAGTACACGCAAAAAAAAATATATATATAAATCAACAAATCATTGCTTAATTCAATAAATATTAATAGCAAGAATTTTCTCATATATGTGTTTTTAAGCGCTTTTGTTAACTGAGCCTTAAGAAAAATGTATTATAAAATTTCTAATATTAGTTTGAAGTCTGGTATGGATATTCCTGCTGAATTCTGAGCTCATTATATTTAGGAGGAATGCAAATTCAATTTTGAATGCGAAGTCCAAGCTATAATCATAAATTGTTGAAAATGTGAATATTTTATTCATTGAGTTTTACTTTTAAAAAATAGTTTCTTAAGTTTTTTTAGTATTAAATTATGTGACATTAGTTTTTTTTTTTTTTTTTTTTTTTTAATATAATGAGAAAATTTTCTGTTTTAATATACTAGTTTAAAGTCTGCAAATGGCATTTGGAATGCTGAGCTTTACATGTCCAAGTTTATATCACAATAGTTGCGAAGAAAAAATACGTAGAGTTTATACTATGACTGAAAAGTTTTGGAAATATGTAATCCATACTTCATTTAGTTAGTTTCGGTTTATAAAAAATACTACAAAATTGTAAAGATTAATTTTTTTTAGAGGAATTTTATTCTACTTGTACTTGAATTTGAATTTGAAACAGCACCTTTCGCTCAGTGTATATATGCATTCGGAGCGTATCTATTCTAACTGTTTGTTCAATTTATATGTCTTGTGGAATACGTGCTTAAATAAATTACCTTCATTACGATACCAGCCGTTAAGGGGTTTCGGATATACTTCCACAATACATTCCAGTATCACTTCTCGTTCGACTGGCGCTCCCACTAACTGGCTTACAGCTTTAATAGTTGGAGGAACTGAAAGTTAGAAATAGTGTAAACTCATTATATAAATGTAAAAGATGTAAATATATATTATTTTGCCAATTGAATTAAATGCTTTAACTAATTTTCTGATTAAATTACGCACCACATCATAAAGCTATTAGATTTATGATACTTAGAATATACATTTATTCCACATATATAAATGTATGTAAAATTTAATTACACATAAACGTAAAGGGAAAAATAGGTCAGATGGTTCCACAGTACATCGTCTTTTGAAGTTGCAACAATAATTTTTCACTTATTTCTCTCTTTTTATTAGTCACCTCAATGATGACTGCACCAACTTCCAGCAAATGACTCTGCTGCATTCATTTCAAAGACAAACTTTTCGTATTTCGCACAGATACTACGTAATAAGAGTGAAGGGAGAAGATAGAGAAGATAGTGTAGAGAGAGAAGAGACCGCACTTTGCGATAACTTGTGAGGGGGAGTGACACTCAATTTTTTTCGCCCGCAATTTGAAAGCTTTGCAACTGGAACTGGCCACAACGACTGTGGTATTAGCTTTACATATACTTTGTATGTTTACATTAAGTCCCGGAAATGGCAAAGGAGAAAAGGCGTTCTTGGATACCATAGAGTAACAGCAAAAATATTGAATTGCATTTTATGTTCTATTTCTTTTTGTTAAAGGCATGCAAATTTTGACTACCTTTTTGAAATATTAAAGAATTTAATTTAGCATTAATTTATTAATGACAGTTTAAGAGAAACTTCCTTATTTAATTAGAACCACAACAAAAATATGAATATATAACATAATAATAATAAAGACATGATTGTTTATTTAATAAGAATCAAAGCATTGATTCAACAGTGGCTCCGAGCAGCTACCCAGTTGAACCGAAAGCATTCAATTATTTATTGATGCCCATGAAAATCACAGTGAGTGTGAAAAGTAAATAACACTCCCAGTCATTTCAACATTCAAATGATACGCTGTTTATATAAATATAATATTATGCCACCACTTGACTTGTGTGTACCCATCAAAAAATAGCAAAGTGAAAGTAAAGTAAACATTTTCTTGAACAGGTCAAGGAGCTGAGACCAGATTTTGTTTAACTTTGCTGTACTGAATTGTTCAGTTGATTGAGAAGATAGCATAATAATATAGTTGAAACTAGTCTACGAGTGTATTCGTGAGTCGACACATTCAAATGTTTCACTTTATCTGTTTAGTCCTTGCACAGCTCCCAACAGATTACAGCGGCTGGGGCAACCCAAAAGAAGCGCGAGTGCACACAATCGTTGGTTGGGTGCGTGAGTCGCCGGCTAAGTCTGCGGTGTGTGTGTGCGAGTGTGTGTGTGTGTATGTGGTTGGTGTGGGTGCTATTTTCCAAGAGTCTTTTTACTAGTGTGTGTGTGTGTGTGAATGACGACTGTTTCAATGCAGCAAAGGCTCATGCTATTTTTCCTGTCGCTGGTTGGTGTTTTGCCATAGGAGCTGTTGTCGTTGCTGCCAAAGGATAATTTTAAGCCATAAATAAAATGGATTAAAGCGCAATGATCCGCTCATCAAAATAGATTTCATCCTCTGTAACACTGGAGCATTATTAAAGCTTTGCAGCAAAATCAATAATAACAGTGCTTTATATAGTGGATTTCCCCCCGCCATATTATACACTTATTTTGTTTATTTTACTCTTGACGCATACATTCTAATATAGTGGATAATTTAAGCGGTATTAACTTTCATTTATAAGTCTGTGGCAACCGAAAGTTACTTTGTGCATACTATCCCCACATATCCGTCCAAGGAGTATTTATGCACTTAAGCAAGTGAACAACAAGTTCGAGGAAAAGAATATTGTAATTTGTTACTGTTGGAAATAACTGTATTTGCCTATGTACACCGCAGAATGTCTTGCATTCCCGTTTTGTAGTCTTAATCTGTTGTTGCCTGCGAGCAACGGTAATTGTAAGTTCCTTATGATCAAGACCTTCTTCGATGCTATGCTTAAGCTATTTTCATGAAGTAAGAGTCAGTCGCTTGTGGTCGCTTGAACCGCGTGGTATAAGTCGCATGAAGCGGACATATATTCTGTATTAAATACAAAGCTCTGAATAAATATAAACCCCAAGTTATAATAGTTACTAAACATGTCTGTATATATATAGAGATTCCTCTGACCATATACAGTAATAGCCCTGAGGGATGGTTCTTTTTTTGCTACAAAATTGTTCTTAATTCAAAAGTAAATAAATATTTATCCCTGACGCATTCAAACATTTTCATAGTATGCTAAGCAAATTATACATGTTATTATGTGGAAAATGCAACGATAAAGTTGCATGCATAAAACATGAGCTTCTTTTAGTCCATAATACTGACAAGAGTAAGTGAGTTGAGTTATTTTACCATCATTTGTAAGTGAAAAAAATGACATACAAACTTCGTAATAGATTTCAAATTTAATAAACTAATAATTAAATTTAAATAGAGAGCAGTTTTACAAGCATATGAAATGCATGGAAAGCTGCTCGTTGTTTCCTTTTAAAAAATATGTAAAACATTAAAGGAAATTAATTGCCTGGCGGCGCAAACAAGATTAGTCTTTTTATCATTTTTCTCACAGTTACTTGAATGTTTGCATTCTGACATACTTTGGATAATGAGCGTTAGTAAAACAGAAACAGACAAGAAACAAGCAAGTAAGAAAAGCATAAGAAAAGCTGCAAAAAAAAAAACAAAAGGAAAAGAATACTGCTTGTGAAATTGACAGGAGCGATCCATTTTTACCGCTTAACATTGTCTGGTTGAAGTTAATTGGTTTTGCGGGATCAGCCAATATATAGCTATAGTATGTAATGGTCATTTAACTATATAAATGTGCAAAGTCAACAATAAATTAAAAGTTGTCTAGCATGGACAACAGAAGAACAACGATGCAGAGAACGTTTCGACAATTGCAAACTTTGGATTTGCATTTTACTGATTTTGACGCGGACACATTGCCAAAAATTGTACGATTCCCATTTGGCTGCTTGGCTACTGCATGACTTTCACTTATGTACATATCCGTACATACATGCTCCGGCGGATTGCTTAGTCTCTCACAATTACGAACTTGTGATTTTCAAATGTTTACTACGCAGACGAGCATACCATGATTTTGCAATGTTGTGCGCATGCATGTGTATTGCATCTGATAGATACAGATATATATATATATGTATATATGTGTATGCGATGCATGTGCATATGAGCATGCATACATACATACATAAGTACATACATACATAGATATGCACATCCGTATTCATTTAAATACATACTCATACATGGGAGTAAACAGTATAATAGAGGCAACAGCTCATGACAATAGTTCAATGTGTGTGCTGCCAGCTCCTCTGCTGCTTTGCTAGTTACGAGTAGTTATCACAATGGGGCAGACACACACACACACACACACACACACACACATAGACACACACGATTGTAACTATGACTGTTAATGCATATACATGCATACATATGCTATACATTTGATATGCTATGCTTGGTAGACGAAGTGCGACTATCGCAACTTTCCACAACTGGTACTCTGAATTTGACTTGACAATCTCATGGTGTTGATTTGTGTCTTGTGCCACACCAACGGCATGTTCATGCAAGCATCCGAAACAGCCTCTATTTAAGAATATTTTGCATCAACATATTCCTTGTTTCATCAGAACAGATAAATCTACAACAGAATCTGTCAAACCAATTGTACAACCAAAACCAAATAAACTTACTTCGACTCCGTTAAATGTTAAATGTTAAGTATTAAAGATAAACAAATTACTTAGAATTTACTCTTAAGTTAAGTTGCTCTCCTGTGTTTGCTTCGGTCTCATTTGAATGACTTCCAACAGAAACAATGGAGATTATTCAGCTGCATTTAGATAACTACATCGATGTATGTAAGTAATTGTATGCTTACATAGACAGTAATACAATTGCTTCACTAATATTATTCAATTAATTAACTACCTCATTCGCAAATAGAATATATCGATTCAATACCTTGGAACTAAAGCATTTATGGGCTATATAATAAATAATTATATAGAGTTATTCAAAACGCATTGCAGCAGAGTAGAGCTAATTAGGTAATTATTGACTCGTCTGTGATATTGTCTTATTTCTGACTCGAAAGCTCATCAGTAATTGGTATTGACAAAATTATTCTAAAGAAATTACTATATACTAGAAAATTGACCACATCTGTGGAAAGTTAAGGTCTAGCCTTGTAAAACTTAAGCTACATTTTAAGCTTAATATTCGGCTTTGGCTTTAAACTTATCTTGAAAAAATATAATACTCAATTGAGTCAATTGAGTCAATAGAGTCATAGACAACCAAGTACTACCTTCTAGAGTTTCTTAACATAATTGCAATTAATAATTTATAATTTAAATATATTTATGCAAAACTCTTGTCAAACTACGAAGGTCCTTGTGAGAAACAATGATTTCGAACAATAGCATGGAATAAAGTTGAAGGTAACTTGATGGTCACCGAGGGAAAGCTTGAAAGTGGTGTGTAAACAGACTTAATAAAATAGTTAATTACCATTATATAGTTTGGATTAAGAAACTTACAGTTTACGTGAACATCAAAGCGTTTGCTCACCGAAGGAGGCACCCCGTTCGAAGCTATGCAAAGGTAGCCACCCATATCGGTGCGGTGAACATTCGTGAGAGTTAATCGACCGCCTTCCACTGACTTTAATGCTAGAAGAAAAAGACAACAAAATTTAAAAAATTAGAACACACTATTTCTTAACAACAATAAAATATAAATACATTCGATCTGATTACGTAGTTTTTCTGAGTCTTGCATTTTACATTTAAATACATACAGATTTATCATATCCATTTTTAAAAATGTATTTACTCTTTTTAATTTCCAATTCATAATTCACATACTTCCTTTTCATTTTATTTAATATTCATTTGTAACTTTTTTATTTATTAAACCCTTTTTGGACAATTTTACATTTTAATACCAAAAGATATATCCTTAATATGATTTAAATTTATATTTTTATTTTAATTTAATTACTTTGTTTTAATTTTATATAATTTACATTTACGTAAATGGATATGCTTCTTCGCCAAATCTCTTTTCATTTAACAATATAATTAATTTAAAGTAGTGTCCAATGTAATCTATTTAGATGTTTACCTTGTTTGTCCCTACTCTCCGATCGGAGTATAATGTCCTTTCCGCCCTCACGTCGCCACTGCACCATTGGTGTTGGAACACCTATTTACATTAAATAAAATATATATATATATAGTTAATATTGGATATATGTAGTTTTAGTTTTATTGAAACTCTCTAACTACTATTATTTTCATAATTAGTTTCTTTTTAAATATTTCTATTAAATAAACAAGAAAGAATGCTTCAGCTTGGAGTGTATCTGGATCAAGTTGAATGCAGGGTATTTGGTAGTCAGTAATTCTAGACTGAAGCACTAGTTGCTTGGTCCTTAAGGATATAGTATTAATACCTGTGGCACTGCACATTAGCGCAATGCTCCCACCTTCAGTACTAACACCTTCATCAATGTTCTGATCGGGATGATTGAGAATATCCGGTGGCACCACAACATCTAAATAGCCAGACTGTAAATGGACAACATAAGCAATAATTAATAACACAATTTATTTTTCGATTTACACTTTTTTATTCTTGCTTAAAATGAAAATTGGAAACCACACATAAAATTGTATTATCGATTGGAATTATGTGTACTGAGTGCAGTTTCTATAAGCAGACTTATTATAAGTAGGCAATTTTCACCGGTACCAGACATGGCTTTGCTTTGGACCAGTCTTGAACTTTATTTACCTGGAGCAGCTACACTCACATTTCACACACACACATACACACACACACAGTGTTAAGGTCAGGCTCAGACGCATATGGCGATAAGATTAGTGCCTTGACCAAACAGGAAAACAAACCACTGTTGTCGTTTTGAGGGGTTGGGTGAAAATTGGGTGAAGTGGTAAAGAGCCGGAGTAAGCAGAGGAGGAAGAGACGTTGGAGTTTGGCTGACTTACCAGACTCTTCATGGGATCCGTATTCACTTGACACATGTAGCTGCCAGAATCGTTTAGCTGCACGTGGGATATGTGAAGTTTCCAGGTGTTGTGTCCATTGTGTGTCACTGATAATCTTGGGTTTAGGGATACCATATGTGTATGTATACCAAGTATTGCTTTTGAATCTGACTTAATCCATGCCACCTGAAATTGCAAAAGCAAAAGCGAAGATGGTATTACGCCTTACCACCAGTGTTCGTTAGTGTAACAAGTTGCCTTCCTGCTGCCAAGTTCACTAACAACCCCCACTTTATCTCACACATATATCCTGTATGTACACACACATACATATATACACACATACATACCTATGTTTGTATGTTGCTTAATATGTTTTGTCCCTGTAGACCAAAATATTATTTTATACTTACGCGAACGCAATCTTAAGTTTGTATATAAGTATGTATGTGTGTATAAGTAAGTACAAGATTAAACACATCTGTATTGGTGCGTAACGACCGTTTGGTTAAAGCAAATGCGATTTAATGGCTTATTAGTGCATTTCGAGTAGGATTGGATGGGTGAGGCTGACAGAGTTGACGGTTTTTATGTAGGTGCAGACGGACTCTGAGTTCACATAACGCGTAGTATTTAAGAAGGTAAAACAAACATTTACTTACAGTATTAAATACACATATATCTAATAATGTATATATGCATATAAAAGAGAAATATATATTTAAAATAATTTATATTTTATATTTAATATATATAATATATATTTCCCGTACACTGCAATCTATATTCTTTTCTGTTAGTTGCGTATCCATAAATTATTCAAGTGTCTTAACTGAAAAAATAAATAAATTAAGAACAGTTTTTGACAGCTGTTTATATGTGTAAATTTGTTGAAGAGACTTTTTATTATTTTCGGTCGAAAGTTGGTACACACTGCATTATATATATATATATATATATATACATATATATTTAGTTCATTTTAAATGAAAAACAGTCCCACATGCCGTCTCACATATTATTAAAAAAGAGTTTTTGGCAGCAAAATCAAATGGCTTTCACATATTTTTATATATTCATTTATATTTGTAAATTCATTGAAAAATGTTTAAATTTTTAATCCACTCGAAATAAGATAAAATAAAATAATAAATTACATACCCGATATAGCCCCAGGTTGTCCACAACACAGGTGAAAGATATGTCGCGGCCTTGTGGTACGCTTATATTTGATAGTTGCGCCAAAAACTGCGGTCCCACTTCATCGGGTTCGTTATGACCTATTATAGCAGCAGAATAAAAGAGAATAATAATGTCCGAGGTACATATTGTGAGCACAGGTGCATTTACACATTTAATTTACATATAAAGCATACGAAGCAGATTTAGTGAAGAACAAATATATGAAAACAATAAGGATAATGAAAAACGAGCAGAACAAAAAATTACTATAGAAATCTGCCAACTGCACGATACTCTGTACCCAGTACAGAGTACATCTGCCAACAGATGGACACTTTTGCTGGAATCAACCGTATATTTATTCGTCGTTTACTTACTATGCACGGACATAAGTAGAATAACTCTTAAAATTCTACGCTCATACGGTTAGACAATCAGACGGACTTTGTAATTGTTTTTCATTTTGAGAACAGAGTATGCAAATTAATTACACAAATGTAAAAATTACCATTAGCATATTGGGAGCTAAAGGAGTGATAAACACGTGAAAGGAACTTACCAAGCTCTATATTATACAGTATACTTAGGTACTCAGAAAAATAATCGCTCTGAATTGTAGAAAATCGGTATACTTTCGAGCCAAGGGCAACTCAAGATTGTATATTACTAACCACTAAGGTAGAGAACAGTTGAACTCTAATTATATTTTTTCTTAAAATAAAAGATTTCTCTTATACTTTTTAGTTTTTTTTTCTTAGTAGTAAAAAACATTTCTACAAAATACAAAAAAAAAGCTATAATTTACTTATTTTTTCATATACATATATATGGATATTTTAATTATTATTTTCAGAAAGTTTTTCTAGTGTATTAAATTTATATTTAAAATCGCCGAATATGATATTTAATCTCTTTGTAAAATACAAACAAGAGAGTGTAATATTCCAATTCGCATTCAGTGAAAGTTAATATTAAAATGTAGTGTAAAATGCGCAAAAGGGTAGCCCAATACTCTTGTTGCCATGTTGCTAAGCTTAAAACTAATTGCATATTATTTGCACAAGCAAACAATTTTATGAGAATTTTCAGCTATATGGGCAGTAGTATAAAATACAATTTAATTTTTTATTTATACTCGCACAACTTTAAAATAGATAAGTAAAATATTTCAAAGATAATTTCAGCAAAACATTATGGATTTCAAATATGTTATCAAAATAAAATGTGGTCGATTCTTACCTTGTGTATTGGCTAACGAATGAGTTCCTTTCGTGCACAAGGTGCCGCTGAGTAACAAAATAATGACAGAGGCTAGCGTCCGGACGCAGAATTGCATCTGAGTCATTTGGGCAGTCTTCATTTTAATCATAGGCTTCAGATCGTCAGTGGATCTTCAGGTACTTCCAACAACTTACTAATTTATATAATATGAATAAAAATCTCGCTATTCGAGCTGATCCCTTGCTTGTGGTATTTGTCTATTTATACCCGAAAAGCAGTTCCTTCTAGTATTGTCTCCGTTAACATAGCATAAGTAAAAAATAATGTTTTCACATCCAAAATGTTTCTGCAAAAAAATGATCAACAGTGTATTGCATAAATTATTTACAAGCATATTAAAATTGTATACTTAAATCTATGAGATAATTAATTTTATGTTACATTTTCTTAATTTAGACAACATTGTCTTAAAGACTAGGATGTTTGCTTACTTTCAGCTAGCATGCATGCTATGCGATGTTAATGCAATAATTATCTTTATTTGTAAAGCTATTTGCTCAACCGAAAGGCATAAAATGAAAGGGCAAAAGGCAACCAAAGTTAAAACCAAATTCCTCTTGTGGAATGCGTCGCGCAATTCACTTTGCCAACTGGAATTTCTGTACCAAATTTTAACTTGTGTACAAAAAAATTTGAAAACTGGTGGAATAATACAACTAATTCAAAAAGGGCGAGTTGTGGCAACAATTAAAGAAACAATATATATATACACACAAATTTAAGAACAACATAAAAATGGATTGGTAAGTAAAGTAAGCGTTAAGCGCATTGTTCTTAACTTTAATATGCTTTCTTAACAGTAAACATTTTGAGAAGTAAGTAACTGTTAACGAAGTACAATTCGCAGTCTGTCCTTCATTTACTATACATAGCAGTAGGATGTTCTAGCTCTTTGTCGTGGGTTTGTGGTAAAGTTTGTTGTATGCTATTTTAATTTAATTGATATTTTTGAACCACAGCCTATGCCAAGCATTCTCCCTTCACGTTCATACTCAGATTCATCTTATTGCACTTACATGTTAAGCGTATGTTAATTTCAGTTGTTATCGATCTCTGATTGCATTGAATCACAAAATGCAACCGTGTATGTTATATTGCATTGTGTTATTTTCTTAATGCTATGAATACGCTTCCAGCTGCAAACTCGATATACATAACAAATGGACTATCCTAGTCAAGCTTAATTTATGATCATTGCAACTGTTTTGCAGTCTCAGCTTTTTGATAGCTTTCTTTTCCAATAATAACACAAAGTTATTTCCACTACGCTATAATGTTAGGCTAGTAGCCAATGTCTTTTTCGCAGCACTTTGATTTATTTATTAAAGGTTTGAAATCAATTACTCAACTTTTTCTGAACGAGAATAACTAAAACAATCGATCAGCTAGAGTTTTGCGGAACAATTAATTAGTTGCAGTAGCCGACGGATTAGCGAATGCTTTTTATCGATGGAGAGAGCGCTGCTAACGCTAGCTGCTGCAGGTCAAACTGCACTTAACATAATGTGGACGTGGAATTAACACTAACAAAAAGCTATTTATATTAAGCTTAGCAGTGCTCCAAATTCAAGCATCTAAACAATTCATAATCAATTAAAACCTCTTCGCTGTTGCTGCCAACAGTGACAAAGGGGCAGTTTTTAATTCTAATCAAAAAAATAAAAATATAAGTAAAGTAAAATAAATTAACTGCCTTTTTTAATTCCGATCAAGAAAATGTAGACTGGTAAGTAAAGTAAAATGTATGTAAAATGATAGCTGTTGACGAAAGAAGAATGTTTTGATAAGTACTAAGTAACCGTAGACCACATATAATTCGCACGAACTGTGTTCCGTGCAGTAAACATAACAGAAGAATTCTCAAAGTCGAGTTCTCTCGACTAGAGCTTTCTTAGTCGTTTTTTGTAAGTCTGTAGCTAGAATTTACTTTGTGATCGGTGTTATTGATACTGATCAAGAATGTGTAGCATACTTTTTGGAGTCGCAGAGGTCTTCTCCAAAGCGTTAAACATTTCGTTAGAAAATTCAAACACTTTTCGTGAGATGATAATGAAGAATGGTATCTGTGTAGTACAAGATGTACTAATACGTACATAATGCACATCATTTGGAGTACAACAAATTTGAAAGCATCAACAGACAAACAAAAAAAATTACTTAACGAATGGCTGGAGAAAAATGTGTTGTGCCATCTCTCTCTGCTCTCTCCCCGTCGCTTTCTCTGTGTTTTCTCGGCTTATCTAGGGGCCAGGGCCAGGGCCAGAGCTGGGAATGTGTAGGCCTCTATAACATGATCCTGATTTGCTTGCGCATAGCTTTCCCAGAGAGAAATGACAGCGACAGCAGCGAAAACGGCAGTTACAATGAAAACAAGAAGGGAAACAAACAATAAGAAAAACCACAAACAATTTAAATGGATTATGTGTTTACACTCTAAGTGGAGGAATGGGCTGGATGGTGGCCACGGACCTTGGACAGCTGGTCGTGTGGGAGTTAAGCGTTGGCAGTGTAGCAGTAGCAGCAGTGTTGCAAATTGATGGTAGCTCTTCGTCATCAAATGGACAAACAGGCAGACGCTGCCTGCCTGCCAGCCTCGGTGCCTGGCTGCCTACCAAGGCATCAGTTGGATGAACGAACTGACAAGTTCAAGGCAGTGGGTGCACTGGTGGGGCAAATGCCGGACACCGCAGTCGCTGGTCTGGGCTCGGCTGGACGAGCATCTGGCTATTGGCAGCGCCACAGTTTTCAACTGTAGGGATTACGCTTGAAACGCAACGCAAGCATCGCAATCGCATGCGTGTGAATGTGGATGTGAATGTTGAATGTGAATGTGGATGTTGAATGTGAATGTTTCTCTGTGTGTGTGTGTGCGTTTACTTGCTCGCTCACTTGTTTTTATTTGTTTGTTTTCACAAACGGAATTGTTTTTAATGAGATTTCAGACGCAAATCTTTTTATTTGAATTTTTTTATTTTTAGGCCCGTCGGAAATGCTCGACCACACCAGTTACTTCTGATTAAAAATTGTGGCGAATGGAATTCCGTATTACCCCGGACACACACAGTGCACAATTTCGAAATTCCGCATCAGAATCCGGCACAATGTATCTGTATCTGTAACTGTATGCATCTGTATCTGTAACTGTAACAGTAAGTGTAGTTCTCCACTTGCTGGCCGTACCAGGAATCTGCTCATGCAAAATCCACAATCCACATGCGTAATGTGTGCAATTGTGTGTGCACATACATATTGCAGTAAGTGTAAGCTCTTGCACTCATCTCGTTTTGAGTTTGGCAGTCAGGCACTGTTTTCTCGGCTGTACCGATTTAAATTTAACATGACAACAACAACAAGAAGAGCAGCAACAAGAATTTCATGTGATTTTAGCCGAAACGGAATATGAATAAATGGATCAGCAGGCACTTTATGCTGATGGCAATGGTGTCACACAAAAGTAAAGGGACTTGGGTCTGCTGCTGCTCCCGCTGCTGTTGCTGCGGTCGACGACTGATGTTCGGAGTGGTGCGGAGTGAGCAAACATGAAATGTGGTTAAAGCATTTTATGCAATCGCACTGCCTCCACACACACACATACATATGTACACACATATGTAAACACATATGTACAGACATACATACATACATCCAGATGGGTTGGTCATTTGTAAAATCCTTTGATTGAAATCGTTGAGAATTAAAAATTCCGACTGAATATTTTCTTTATTTTAACACATTCGGCCATCGCCCAATTAATTGTTGATGAATGAGCATTACGCACAAGCAAACGGCTTCGGTACCAAAAATTGATTGCTGTGATTTTTACAAGCACACACACAGAGAGACACACATACAAATATATATATATATATAATATATACATACAAATATATATATATAAGTATTAACAAGAGCCTTCGCTAGTAGGTGTTGCAACAACCCATAAATCTGTACTTATCATGTTTCACACTAGCGGGTATTTTCCGCTCTTTATTATCCGTATTATCCGCGTATTATGAAGTGTGTGCTGAATTTTTTTAAAATGTCTTTGTAACACGTAGAGTTCATTATTTTATACATAGCAATGGATTTGCTGAAAACAATTGAAATATGTTCTCACCGAATTGTCACATGCACACTCATAAATTCTGAACTTTAAAGAAATTTTGCTAAGAATTATAGTTTGCATTTATACATCTTAGAAATGTTTTTCGAACTAATAGAAAATATTTCTAATAAATAGAATAAACACTATTTTGTCAATTTGGGGCAAACATTTCAAAATTTTAGAAAATTTTTTCCCCATAACTTAGAAACAATTTCTAAAAAACAAAATATATATTTTTGAAAATTGTATTCTCTCTTTTATTCTCTCTATATTTCTGTCTCTCTCACTCACTCTTTCTCATCTCGTATTTAATAATTATTTATGCTTGGCTTGGCTTTAAAAAAAAGTCTGTTAAACCTCGAATTAACTTTCTGGTCTTCTATATCAGCTCTTTGATCAAACTAAGCAGTTAAGAGTCTTCATTCTGCGAGTGTATTTCATATCCGGCATGCCAAAGATGTCGGTTCCTTCTTGTTTTAACATTCACCTTACTTTATTCTCTCTCTTTTTTTGACAACACGAGCATTTTAAGTTTTCTCCATTGTCGCTGCGTTATTTCCTCAAAAAAAAAATCAGAGAAAAAAAAACACTCAAGGATGCATTAAGTTCCATTTGGTGACACGGCGAGCACTCTGCATAAATGTCGACAGTGTAAAAGTCAAAGTTCTTGACATTTGCATAGCATGAACATCACGTGTGAACTGTTCCTGTCTCTCCAGGCGACCCAGTGGTGCAAAAGTACAAAAATTATATTGAATGTTTTCGCTGACTCCAACCACATTCGTAAGCCACATCATAATGACAAATTTGGGGCATGTACGCTGTGCAACATATGTGTTTTGGGGCATATTGTTTGGCACAAAAATTTGAATAAGAGAGATGAGAGATAGAAAGTTTTTTTTAGATATATTCTTTGATTTGATTAGGAATGAAATTTAAATAAAATAGTAAGAGAGTTTTTTAAATAATTGTTTGACTTGTTATAGTTACAAACTATCAAACTATAAATATAAAATAATTTTATATATATTGGCCTGATTAAAATTTCGATGCACCAGATTTATTCGTTAATTGTTTAACCCTTAACCTTTATCTTTTATTTTACTTTTTTATTATCTTTATTTTAAATGATAATTGTTCACGTTCAATTGTATATCATAAACTTTGTAACT